ACCATCCGCCACCACGACGGTGGCTCCCAGCAAGTTGTCAATGGTCAACCCGTAGCGGCCTGTCAACCAGCCATAACCTCCTCCCAGGGTCAGCCCACCAACCCCCGTGTGGTTGACGGTGCCGCCGACAGTGGCCAGTTTGTAGGGAGCTGCTGCACGGTCGATATCCTCCCACACGGTGCCTCCCTGGGCCGTGATTGTTTTGCGTTCGGGGTCCACCACCACGCCGCGCATTTTGGTCATACTGATAACAATCCCCCCTTCCGTTGCGGAGGCGCCGCTGGTGGAGTGACCGCCATTGTGAACCACCATAGGTATCTGGTGATTGCTCGCAAAGACCACGGTTAGCGAGACCTCCTCGGCCGTGGTGGGAAGGACTACAGCTCCCTATAAGCATTCACATTCAGTATAACATCAATCGAGTGTTTCTTCCTCAAGGGCCACTGACGGCTTTCTTTTCGCATGTGTCACTCCAGCGTCTGATGCCTTCCGCGTATCCGGGTTCACCCTCGGTGAGAACCTCAGCGTTGGTACCCGCCAGCAGCTGGCGCAGTTTAATGACTTCCGAGGGAGTAATCGAATGCATGATGGGAAAATAATGGCCTAGTCAACGGCGATGTGAGAGTCAAACTTGTTGCTATCAGGCTGCTGTAGGCTTAATGAACGGAATAGTTCAACTGGAGAGATAAGGAGAAGATTTAGAGCATGAACCGGAGGTGAACCAATTGACAAGGCCCTTCTTCGACAGGATTCAGCGCGAATGCCGGGGCGGATATACCCTATAATCCCGGTGCCTGATTCCGTGCAGGCAGGAGACGAAATCGAAGCAATCGACTTTTGTCTCCATTGTTCCAGTGCTGTTCTTCATCCCCAGACACCCTTACTTTGGCCTCACTTGATGGTACGCCCTTCATCATTGCAGATTGCTAGCATCTCGGATATTGCATGATCATCAACCCGATTAGGACTGGATCTACTAAGGAGGCATTTCAATCCCCGTGAAACAACAGCATGTTGAACGTCTCAGTGTGTGATCAATGATTGGCTGGAAGGTCATGCCAGCATTCTTCGATATAGCAGGCGGCGTCTCTGGGGGAATTTTAAAGTTAACTTCAGTTTGACAGAGTGCGGAAAGACCGCCAGCGTTGCACTGGACCTCTTGGCTTTGCCAGCCCATTGATATTGCAAGACATTATACTAATATGCAGTTGCTGGATGACCTTACATATTTCTCTTAGACGAAGCAGTATTGTCTGTGATATATATCTGTCACAAGTGGACCATCAAACGACGATCGTCTCGCACTGTGCCAAAGTATGCGAATTACTTTAATTGCGAACACTAGCTTTGGAGTTCAATATCGTCCATGAAGGGGACCCGGGGAAAGCCCCCTGCATCGAAGGCCACGCTCGACGCGTGTAAATATATGAGATCTTTACATGCACACTCGGAAACTTTTGTGGATATGGCGAACCTGACCGTTTACTCCGGCTTTTCACCTCTTGCCCACACCGGCAAGATAAGGCTATGCACATCATGTAAAGAATAGTCATGACTGTCTCCCTGGAGTGCTCCGGTATTAGACCAAGCCGGACTATGATGTTTCAAAGTTGACAAAACCAATCGTATTCATTGGGTCCGCGGAGAATCCTCACGACACTACTAAAGTAGTTAGGCATGATCTAAGTCAAGCCAAAGAGGGCGGTACGAATGGGGTGCAAGGACTCGGATGGTGCATGGCGCCAGCGAAACTTTGTATCTAGCAGTGGCGGCACTTCTGGCCGAATTGACTCAGGTGTCGAAGTGTCAGGTGAGCGCCAATCTAGATCTTGGCCGACTCGCTGGTGGTTGGCTTCAGACAGCAGCGAGTTCAGCCAAGAAACTGATCTGTCAGTTTTGTCGGCCCGAGTAAGCATTTCGACATGCGAGGAGATTGTCGATCTCCAGCGGCAGCCAATTCAGGTCAACGGCAGTTTCTTCTGCATCTGCTCCGGGGGAATGTGCATATGTAGGGGATTCCGTTGCTTTTACCCTCTAAGGACATAAACCAGGTGGGGAGCTACCCACCGCCACCATCATGGGTGGCACCGGCGTGCCTACCTTCGAGCCCAAATTGCGGTGGGCATCCCTGCAGCCACTGCCGCGACATGGATGCTACCTGTATTGTCTCCCCGCACCAGATATCTTGAAAATCCTCCTAGGAACTAAAGAAGCTGGTAGAACTTGCTCTTCGTAGCCAATCTTTGCAGATCATCGGTCTCGAACTAACCGTCTTGGGGTGCCCTGACTCCGCGCGCGTTTTCTGCGGCGCAACCGGCCCACCCTAGACCAAGCGTAGGCCCCAAGAACTTTTATGTCTTGAGCAGGAACCAGATGAGCAATTCTGGACCTGGATTATCCTTCTCTCGCTTCAACCCTCGTTTCCATCTCAGGATCTGTCTAACCTCTGATTATCCCTGATGGCGAGCATGATTGAGGCTATCCAAGCCCGTTTGGCCGATGACGAGCATTTGCTCGCACAGCCCATGATCGTGGCAGGAGCTCTCTTCTTCTTGCTGGTGGTCTTTCAGTTGCGCCGAGCTGGAGGCTCGAAAGCCTTTCCCTCTCCCCGACTGGGATATCCTCTAGTCGGCGATGCATTAGCCTTTCTGAATCGCCCGGTCGCCTTCGTGCAAGACGCGACACGCAAGTGTGGCCCCATCTTTCATGTCAAGATATTGTTTGCCAACATTGTCTACTTGAGAGGTACCCAGCTCAATCGTATGTACGTGGATGTCAAGGAGGACATCTGGTCGTTTGGTGGCGGAATTGTAGGCATTAGTTCCCTCTCTCCATTCTCTCCACCGTAACAGAGGGAACAAACTTCTGACATTGTACAGGGCATATTCTTGAAGAAGATTGCCATCCCTGGGTATTTTGACCATTTCCGCAATCTCGTGGGCTCGCTGAATCGCGGCATCAATCGCAAGGTGACCCTGGATCGTTGCACCGAGCTTGCAGGCGAGGAGGCCGATAAGGCACTGCTCAAATGGAGCCAGCAATCGGACGTCAAAGTGTTCGAAGAGGCGTCCAAGTATGTCCACCGTGTGATTGTACGGACTCTCATGGGACAGGACTTCTACGATGAACACATAGACGAGCTCTACGATCTCCTGCACCGGATGGAGGACGAGATAGGCCACCCACTGAATCTTTTACTGCCGGACTGGTTTCCTCACCCTCCAGCACGACGACTGGGCAAGGCCAGAGATCGCTTCGCCGAGATCTTTGCCCAGCAGATGGCGATCCGTCGCCAGAACCCTGAAAAATGGAAGGGTTCGCTGGACTATATCACCTATACATTGGAAGATCCGCGGACGGCCCATCTGCAAGAATACTATCCGTCGCACCATACAGTGCTCATGTTCGCCGCTCACACGAGCACTGTGGCTAGCATTGCCTGGACCGCCATGGAGGTCTGTTTGTTCCTTGCCGGATATATTTACCCTCTCCTAGCCCACTAGTATCACCGAACTGACACTATTCGCAGCTGATCCGGAACCCAGAGTACGTGGAGGCCATTCGGCAGTCATTTCAAACGAATGAGGACGTTCACCAGTCTCCCGTGCTACTGGCATGCGTCAAGGAGAGTGGCCGCCACTATTCGGGTGTGCACATGTGGCGTACAACCCACCGCCCTGTACAGCTGGAGGATGGCTACACGGTCCCCGAAAACTGGGTAGTATGCACCTCGCCTTATCTCACCCACCATGACCCAGAGATTTATGAGCAGCCGCAGCAGTGGCTGCCGGAGCGGTGGCTACGCCCAACGGCGCGTTTGCAGAACCTTAATAATGCCACCGACGCGGCGTTCCTGCAATTCGGCGCGGGCTCCCACCGGTGCCCGGGGGAGAATATGGCTGGCATCATCGCGCGCGAACTGGTGTCGCGCCTGGTCAAGAACTACGATTTCCAATGGGGAAGCCAGGGGCCGGCCAAAATCGATGTCTCCAATATGGACTTCAGCAAAGTCGGCAGTCCCTGGCTGCAAGGCGATGCGCTTATTCGGATCCAGCCCCGGAAATCTGCGGTTATGTGAACGAATTAGTGTTGAGGGGGAGGAATAAGGGGGACACTGGCAGATTGAATGCTATGGTGATACGTCATTCAGGTTTAGACATTTTCGTTATTTAGACAAAGAATCGAATATGGATTTAGCTCCTATTGAAGTAGTCAACCCTGCGTAAGAGAGTCCTCTAATGTCCCTGCTTTGCATTGTCGACGCTGGTGCTGGTTCTGGTGCTGGTGCTAAACTGGAACACTATCAAGATTGAAGCGCTTCTCGTCACACTTGACACAAGTGTTCTAGTAAGGGATGGTGATAACAATGGCCCTTACCACCCTTGATTTAGTGTGTTAGAGGGCTTAGAGCTTACTTTGATAATTGAATGTCAAGTGAACCTTGGATAGAACGTACCCGCCACCGCTAGTTTGGAGCCTGTATAGCTGAATCTCTCGCTGTTCTTCTCCAGTCAACGGATGCAAGGCACGACAATCGAAGGACATGGATTTACCCCTTCTGGTAGCTACAGTGCGGATCGCCATTGCCCTCCATAGCCTGCAGAGAGTGGCAGAAATACCAGGTCTGCATGCAAACAACGAAGATAAGGAGGGCCTCGAAAGCGAGGTCGCCTCTGGGTTCTGCGGCCATCTGCACCTGTCTCGCCGTCGCATTACGAAGTCTACAAGAACAGGAAACAGTACAAACTTCCCGAACTTGAAAGGACATTGTGAGTGATACTTAAGAAGTACCGGCAGATTGCAATGAACAAAACCCGGACTTCTTTTTCACCCAAAGCCCAATCAAGCGGTTGCTGAGCTTCTTCCCCTTGGCTTATCATCTGGGCTCTCTCACCACCACCTGTTCGACCCATCTTTATTGCCTCGAGAATATCTCTCAGTTCTTTACTTCCTGCTATTTGTTATTCCCCCTCTCCCCTTTCTCCAGACATCGTTGCACAATGGTTCCCAAGGCCGATGTTCAGGTCCTGATCGTTGGCGGCGGTATTGCTGGGTTGACACTGGCCAATATCTGTAAGAAAATTGGGCTCAGCTACAAGGTACTCGAGCGTACGGCCGAGGTAACCCCCGTGGGTGCGGGCATCTCGCTGGCCCCGAATGCCCTCCGGTTACTCGACCAACTCGGCTTCATGGACATCATTCGGAAGGAAGGCCAGCCGCTACGAAAAATCCAGGTCTACCGCAACACGACCCGATGGAGTCTACTTGACTTTGAATGGCTCGAACCAACATATGGCTATTCAATGTACTCGATGCCGCGACACAGCATGCACCGCGCCTTGTACCATCGGGCGGATCCGGAGCACGTCATCCTGGGGGCTGAAGTTGTTGGCATCGAGGATGAGTCCAATTCGCCAACAGTCAAGGTTCGTCTGGCCGATGGCCGCGAGTTCAGCGGTGAGGTGCTCGTGGGAGCCGATGGCATCCGGTCGATCGTACGGCGGCTCCTTGCCGACAAGCAAGGGCTGGCAGGCGTCAACACCATCCGGTTCACCGGACGCACCCACATGACGGGCATCTCTTATCCGCTGGAGCATCTCGGGCCTAACGATCTCGGCGTGGCAACCTGGGTTTTCTACGATGACTGTATCCTCACCTCTTGGCCGTGCACCGAAAATCGTCAATGGTTTGTCGGGGTCAAGGTCCGTCACTCCCTTGCAACCTCCTCCTCCTCCTCCTCCTTCCTTCTTCACCTGACTCTGTCTCACTTGTCACCAATGGACCCCAAACTAATGAGCGTAATTGCTGGATTAGTCCTCCGAAGCCAAGACCACGACACGATCCACCTGGAAAGGTGCCACTAAGGAAATGATCAACGAAAGTTACGGACACCGCTTCCATCCGTTTGGCAAGAACTACACCGTACGCGACGGCATGTCTCACTCATTTCTTTGCTTCCCCTCCCCCTTCTTTCTACCTCCTCTTCCCCCTTTCTTCCCAACAATATTCTGACTGACTCGCTCTCATCTGCAGTGGTCGATGTGGCGGAACGCGTGACGGCGAGTGATGTGTTTGAAGAAACTGCTTTTCCCAAGATGGCCCATGGCCGCGTGGCCCTGGTGGGAGACTGTAAGGAGTCAACTCGATTCTCACAAGCGAAACGCAAATTAATATGAGTGGGCCGGAGACTAACGCAACATTTTCTTATTTAGCGGCGCACTCCATGACATCGTTCATTGGTCAGGTAAATTCTCATTTCCTCCGAGGCAATTCCTTCCGCCAGGGGGAGGGGTAACGGAGACATACGGCTAACCAGGATTTCCACCCTGTAGGGCGCTTGCCAGGCGATTGAAGACGTGGGGGAGTTGGCCAACGTGCTGCACACCTACTTCGCCGGCCAATCGGGCAATCCGCAGGTGCTGCGGGATTTGTTGACGGACTTCCGCAAGAGCCGAGAGCCACGGGCACGAAACCTCGTGTACTATTCAAGTATCTTCGCACAGGTGCATACAGGACGCCTCCCGTACGGGTTGGGGCCACTGGCACGCCGGCTTGCCTTCTCCTATGCCCCTGTGTGGTGTTGGAAATGGGCTTGCAATCCGCTGTACGGCTACCAGCCGCGCGTACACGCGTTGGACCTGTTGTCACGGTAGACCTATGTCTTTTGAACTTCTATAGAAAGCATAATATAGCAATCGCATTTTGGTATACTTTCATCCTCTTCAGTATATCCATTATATATTTCTTTCTGCAAATTTTCACATTTACCGAATCAACATTTGTTTCTGTTTATTCTAATTTCATTTTTTCTCATTTGCTGCTAACTTTTTCCTTTTCCCGGTGGTGGGGAAGGCTGGGAGAAGTTTTGGCAGGAGGCTAAATCCACGTGCTGCTATTCGTGGGAATTCCGAGCAAGGGGTATGCAAGGGCGCAAGTTTACTAGAATGGTTCGAGGGTTTACATCTGAGACGGTAGTATATGCTGAACCGGACTGATGGTGTGAGGTACTGAGGAGATCGAGGAGAGGCTTGTGAAAGAACAAGATTTACAGTAGCAAGCTACAGGCATAGACTGCTTTCTGTTCAAGCGTGTCTATAGAGACCAGATAACCACTGGATCTAGCAGTTAAGTAGTAACCTTCTTGGTCTTCCTAGTCTTCCTAATAGTATATATTCCTACGTGTGGGGGATATGTCATTTCTATTGGCTCACTTGCAGAGTCAGCTTATAATATATCTTGACTTCAGTTGAAGAAGTGCCTATACAGTGGTTGAAATGTATCCAACATAAAGCAAGCCAAAAGGATTGCGGATGCTGATATAGCTTTAATATTGGGAAGTAGAAGGTAGCCTTCTACGATTTAGTGTATCTTTATGTCTATGTTGACTCAAAAACCAGAAATGAAGTTGATTGAGAGTTAGATCTAGACATATTTATTTCGTACGGATGCTTTTAAAATATATAATCCCTGTGATATGTCCTTTGATGAGTTTAACAGATTATGTATCGGTGTATGCTGAATGGTATTTATAACTCATTCAATAATGCTCCCAGAGTATTTGAGGGATAGTAAGTCATGTTTTAGTTGAGTGAAAGTTAGGGTCGTGTGAAGCTCCTTCATCTTGATTGTCAAACAAACTTCATGGATGCTGTATTAGAGTTTTCGGCGCTACCCAATCCCTGGGAAGTTTTATTTTGAGAATCTAAACACGATCCTTCTATCTTTCAGAAGATAATCTCAACGGCACTTAATTAAGTGGTGCAGAGTTGACTGTGTCTACGACGAATAGCGTACCAGGGTCCTCGAATGGCTGCCTCACGATATCACGGTGGACCCATTTCTTCTACAACTAAGCTACATGATGCAATGAAAAACAACGATTAGAGGATACTATACGTTAACTCCATGATTTTCTACATAGTGTTTCCGATCTGAAAGATGAAGCAATAATTAACCTTACACGATTTTTCATTGAATCTATCATTAGTATTATAAAGTGTCTTGTTGTGTAACTGGAATCATCCCCCGCAAAGGTTACTATACCAAGGCAATTGGCTTAGGTTGCAAACCGACTGCGACTTCGCAATGCCGGTCCAAACCAGTAGAGCACCAGCACTCCCGCGATGCAACCTACTGTCAGACCAGCCAGCAAGGTCGTGCCCCGCGCCACTCCCAGTCGAGCATACAACGGGCCGGACCAGAGAATGGCTGCAAAGGCCAGACTGGCACGCGCCAGATCGTTGATGGCAAACAGACTAGCGCTGTACTTCGGATACGCTACGGACAGGTAGCTGAAAATACACTGCAGCACCAGCGTCATGCCAGATACCTCGATCACCAAGCCGATGGTGGGTACAATCCAGTGGATGCTAGCCCGCGAGGTCCAGGCGAACAGAAAGAGTCCCACGGGGATGAACACGCTGCCGACAATGGCGGGGATAAGCCGGTGCTCAGGATGGGGGAATTGACCGCGCCGAAAGGCCTTGTTCAGCGAGATATGCACAAAGGCATAGTAAAAGGGAAGTGTGAGCAGCGTGCCGATCACGCAGCCGAGGAAGATCAGCCCCAGCTCGCCCAGGCTCATGTGGTAGATGTCCAGGTATACCAGCGGTAGCACCTCGAAGTAGGAGTAGAAGATGGCGTACACTAACCCAATATAGACCGTCGTGAAGAGCACGGACGGGTCTAGGGCATTGACTTTCCATGGGATCACCAGCGCAGCATAGGCGACTTGCATGGGAGTCTCGTTCTGCGACTCAATCTCCGACCGCGACCGGATGGCCGTGTTGCCCGTTAACTGACGCAACCGCTTGGCCCGCAGATGTAAGATGGCCGGTGCAGATGTTTCAGGGAGGAAAATCTGGTTTCAACAAGAGAAGGAAAAGGAGACGATGGTCAGCACAAGAGGTTGTCCGCTAATGATAATCATGGCCACCATTCGCCATGAGAGAAGTGGTAGCGAGCACTTACCAGGGCGACAAAGCACAGCGCGGCTGCCCATAGGATCTCCCACATGGACCAGTGCCAGCCCTTTACGGGAACACTAAACCCCGAGATTGTCGGCGCAATGGCGGGACCAGCAATGGAGCATGCTCCCCAGATGTATAGACCGTAGGGGAGGTTCGGGATGGAGGTCACATCCGCCAGGGATGCACCTCCCGTGGCCAGTCCGGGGGAGCCGAAGAAGCCTTGCAAGTAACGCAGGATCAGGAACCCTGGCACGTTGTTGACTAGGGCTGTGGGGATTGCGAGGATCAGGAAGATGGTGATGGAGATCACATACGGTGGGTTGCGACCCACAGAGGGCACTTCGGACATGGGACTCCAGATCATGGGGCCCATGCCGTAGCCCAGCACATACAGAGCCAGCCCCAGGGCGCTGATGGTTTGTGTCACCCCGAAGATAGTCTCGAATTCTCCCTCGGCCGAGGAGAAGATGGCAGCAGCCATGAAGACCAGAAAGGTGAACAAATTCACTTCGACATACACCAACAACTTGGCCACGAAAGACCAGTTGTGTGGATTGTCCGGGTCATCGGAGGAGTACCAATCCACCACAATGGTCCCGTCCGGCGTCACCTCGGGATCAATCCACGACGATGATGACTGCGCCGATGATTCGGGCGGCGTTGGGAGGGCAACCCCTTGAATCCCATCAACTTCCTTGCACTCCTCGTCGGGGGGTAGCGCATGGCTAAACAACGTACTTCCATCCGCATCCGAGGTGTTCTTCTTCTCCTGTGACGGCTGGACTGGCCGGTTGTTGACTGCCTGTTGGTATGGCGCAGGCAGCGTGAAGTTGGCGCTGAGTTCGCGCGGCTTGAATAGACGGCCCCCAGATACGAGGTAGACGATTCTGCCAAAGGCCGAGTTGGCGAATAGATGTGGCATGGCCGTTGCAGTGTCGATGCTTGGACAGAGCAAATGAAGCAAAAGAGCCCACAAGGAGGGCCTCACCTCTGTATGTACTTCACTGGCAAATTTGGGGGAATAAGGGAGAAAAGGGGCTGGCAGGGAGCTTGAGAAGCTTCAGACCGCTTCCCCCCAATTCCCTTCCCTCTCAACTTCAGCCCTAGAAGGAATGCAAGGGGGAGGCGTTTCCATGGCCGCAAAGCCAGTCCTGTTTCCGAGGAATGCCAGCAACGATCGTCAAGGTTCCATGGTTGCATCGCCGGACAGGGATGAAACCGGGATGCCACCGTGTCTCCCGGTTGGCGTTTCCACTCCCCCTTCCCCATAAAAAAGGATGAGCTCATGGCGATGCAAGCCCTACTATACGCAGGCAATGCAATCACCGGAAATGGCAGTTCTCTCCCGGGGGCGGGGACGGGATAGTGAAATAAGCATTCATATTCTCCATATCCCTTCCGGCCAAATCTCCTTAGTTTGCATGGGCAACATTGATTGTGACAGCAAGTGTTAAAGCATGACTTCTCTTCCTCCAGCCCAATGCTGCATCGCTGGCCATCTGCACAGTGGCACTCCCAAGGGGGAATTGAAGAAAATAGATGACAGTAAGGCACTTCCTTGCACCATCCTGATATCCTCTAGGTCGCATCCTAATGTACATGCTTCCTGCACCAGTCCTCACCTACGTGTCTTACCCTCCCAACAAATCAACTCAGAATGCCATTCTATTTCTCTCCGACATCTTCGGCCCCAAACTGGTCAATTCCCAGCTGATTGCCGACCAATTTGCCGCCAATGGCTACTTCGTGGTCCTGCCCGACCTGTTTCATGGGGATCCGGTCCCCGTCGAGCGCGAGGGGAATTTCGACGTCATGGCCTGGCTGCAAAACCACCTCCCGCCCGTGACAGACCCAGTCATTGACAGAACCATTCGATACATGCGCCAGGAACAGGGCTGTCAGCGCATTGGAGGGGTTGGATACTGCTATGGGGGCAAGTACGTCGCTCGTTACCTCAAACCCGGGCTGTTGGACGTAGGCTATATGGCCCATCCCACCCATGTGGACGTGGATGAGTTGAAAGGTATTCAGGGTCCATTGAGCATTTCTGCCGCATGTAAGTTCCATGATTGAATGTTCAGCCAAAAAGATAGAGACTGATTTCTCATAGCGTCGGATTATCTCTTCCCGACCGAGAAGCGTCGCGAGAGCGAAGATATCTTGTCCGAGCTGGGCCACCCTTACGAGATAACAGTATATTCTCATGTCGAGCATGGATACGCTGTTCGCTGTAACATGGAAATTAAGCAGCAGAGAGTGGCCAAGGAGAAGAGTTTCGCCCAGGCAGTTGGCTGGTTTGATGCTTATTTGAAGGAGTGAGCACGATGCCGGGAACCGAAGGATTAGAGAAAAATGGACTTCTGTATCTATTCTTCTGCAGCAAGCAGAGCCGATAAATCTCTATCAGATAAGACGCAAGCGCGTTGTAAACCTATGTACATGTTTGAAAGAGCATCTCCCGGTCGATGTCATTCTTCAGGCCGCCGCCAAGAGATCGTTTGGGATATACAACGGCATAGTGTCCTCCCATCGACTCTGCGTCAGCACTGTCCAGTTCGACCCATCCGCCTCCATCTGCATGATAAAAGGGTATGGTTGCTGATTGTTATCGTAGATGGTCGCCTCGTCCTGGAAGCCGAACATGCCCGTCGCCCAGGCAATCTTGCCCTCGTGGGTCCAGACAG